GCTCAGGCAATTAGACAAGAGAAGGAAATCAGGGGTATCCAAATAAGAAAAGAGGAAGTCAAGTTATCCCTCTTTGCTGATGATATGATCCTATACCTTGAAAATCCAAGAGAATATGTCAAAAACCTGATTGCACTGATAAAGGACTTTGACAAAGTCTCGGGGTACAAAATAAATGTGTAAAAGACAGTTGCAGTCCTATACACCAACAACAAACAGGCAGAGACCCAAATAAAAAGCACAATCCCTCTGGGCTCAATGGTTCAGCCTGTAATCCCACGCCTTGGGAGGCTGAGGTGAGTGGATAGACTGAGCCCGCGGGTTCAAGACCCGCCTGGGCAACTTGGCAAGACCTCATCCCTACAATAAATCAAAAATCAGCCAGGCGTGGTAGCACGCGCCTGTATTTCCAGCTACTTGGAAGGCTGAGCAGAAGGATCACTGGAGCCCAGCAGGTCAAGGCTGCGGTTGCTGGGAGCAGCCACTGCACTCCAGTCTGGGTGACGGAGGGAGACTCCAACTCAAAAAAACAAAAAAAAAAGCACAATTCCATTTACGATAGCCACAAAAAAAAAATGACATACCTCGGCAGCTTCTTAACCAGAGAAGTGAAAGAACTTTACAATGAGAACTACAAAATGCTGCTCAAAAAAATCCAAGAAGACACAGACAAATGGAAAAATATGCTCAAGGTTAGGAAGAATCAACATTGTTAAGATGTCCATCCTACCAAAAGCAATCTACAGATTCAACACAATACCCATTAAGTTACCAACATCATTATTCTCAGACCTGGAAATGACACACAGAAATTTATATGGAAATGTAAATGACCACAAATAGCCAAAACAATCCTTAGCAAAAGAAACAATGCAGGATGTATCACACTTCCAGTCTTCAAACTTTACTATAAGGCTACAGTAATCAAAACAGCCTGGTATTGGTACAAAAACAGGCACACAGACCAATGGAACAGGATACAGATTCCGGAAGCAAAGCCTCAATTCCTCAACCAACTCATCCTTGACAAAGCCTCCAACAACAACCACTGGGGAGAGGAGAACCTATTCGGTAAATGATGTTGGGAAAACTGGCTGATCACATGCAGAAGATAGAAACAGGACCCTACCTATCACCATACACAAAAATTAACTCTAAATGAATCAAAGACCTAAATGTAAAATCTCAAACTATAAGAATCGTAGAAACACAAGAGACACCCAAGAGACTGGCAACCAATTCCTATTCAGAACCCTAAAGGTCAATACCTTAAGAAATAAGATAGACAAGTGGGACCTCATCAAACTAACGAGCTTCTGCAAAGCAAAAGAAACCATCAAGAGAGCAGGGAGACAGCCCAGAGAATGGGAAAAAATGTTTGCCAACTGTATATCTGACAAAGGCCTAAAATCTAGAATCTACAAGGAACTCAAATGTGCCAAAAGGAAAAAAACAAACAGCCCCATTAAAAAGTGGGCAAAAGACATGAATAGACAGTTCTCAAAAGAAGATATATGGGCAGCCAACGGACACATGAAAAAGTGTTCAGCCTCACTCATCATCACAGAAATGCAAATCAAAACCACACTGAGATATCACCTAACTCTGGTAAGAATGGCTATCAAGGCCGGGCTTGGTGCCTCAGAATTCCAACACTTTGGGAGGCCAAGGCGAGTGGACATCCTGAGTCTGTGGGTTCAAGACCAGCCTAGGCAACTTGGCAAGACCTCACCTCTACAATAAAATTTTTTAAAAAGTCAGGTGTGGTAGTGCACACCTGTAGTTCCAGCTATTTGGAAGGCTGAAGTGGAAGGATGACCTGAGCCCCACAGGTCGAGGCCATGAGTGTGCCACTGCACTCCAGCCTGGGTGACAGAGTGAGAGTCCAACTCAAAAAAAAAAAAAAATGGCCATCATTAATTAAACAAACAACAACAGATGCTGGCAAGGATGTGGAGAGAAAGGAACGCTTCTACACTGCTGGTGGGAATGCAAACTAGTGCAACCTCTTTGGAAGACAGTGTGGCGATTTCTGAAAGAACTAGAGATTGACCTTCCTTATGACCCAGCAATTCCCCTATTGGGAATATACCTGGAGGAACTCAAATTATTCTACAAAAAAGATAGCTGCACATGTATGTTTGTTGCATTTCTATTCACAATAGCAAAAACATGGAACCAATCATGTTGCCCATCGAAGCTGGACTGGGTTAAACAAAATGTGGTACATATACATAATGGAATATTATGCAGCCATAAAGAAGGACAAATATATGAACTTTGCAGCAACTTGGATGGATTTAGAGTTGATCATTCTCAGTGATCTATCACAGAAAAAATAATAGAGTACCATATGTTTTCACTCATAAGTGGACTTTGAACAATTATAATACTATAGGAAAGGGAAGCCAGGCTCAGTGGCTCAGCCTGTAATCCTGCGCCTTTGGGAGGCTAAGGTGAGTGGATTGCCTGAGCCCGCGGGTTCGAGACCCACCTGGGCAACTTGGTGAGACCTCATCTCTACAATAAATCAAAAAATTAGCCGGGCGTGGTAGCGCGTGCCTGTAGTTCCAGCTACTGGGAAGGCTGAGGCGGAAGGATCGCCGGAGCCCAGCAGGTGGAGGCTGCGGTGGCTGGGAGCGGCCACTGCACTCCAGTCAGGGCGACAGAGTGAGACTCCAACTCAAAAAAAAAAAAAAAAAGAAAGGGATTAGCAGTAGTGAGAAACTGCTAGGGGAGGGAGGGGCATACCTCATCAACAAGGGTACCTGCATAATCAACGTTTGTATACCTAACCCTGAATTATACCCCACATCTTTCTAATAAAAATAAAATAAAATATAAAGTATAGCAGGATGCTTTGGAGCTTGACTAGGACCTGGAACTTGATCTGAGGGGCTCTCCCATGCATGTATTTGAATTCTCAAAATTAAACCAGGATCAAGGACGCTCCTGGAAGAAACAGGTGCAGACACCACTTCTCAATGTCAGACCTGTGAAGCTCCTTTTATGTGAATTTCTGCCCCCACCCACCCATCTTTGTAGCTGATTTGCTCCCCAGGGAAGTGCCCATGTGCATTAAGAGAAGATGTCGTTCACTAGGCCCCAGTTAACCCCTGTGAAATGGGCAGCTTCATACAAGAGCCTTGTCACAGCTGCCATCACTGAGCAAGACTGACAGTGCAGGCGGGCCTGAATCTGGGGGTCATCGGAACTTGGGTCACTGTCGTGATGAATGCAGGAAGCTGTGCCTCACCAGGGGCTCTTGGGGTTCCCGGGAACCATGTGCCTTAGTCCAACAATTATTGCAGCAGACAGGCAGGATCTAAGACCAGACCAGTGTTCATCCTTGGACTTGCCCATTAGTAATAGCTGGGAGGCACCGAGACAACCAGGACCAGCAGGTGGCACTCTCTGGAAACAAACAAAAGAGAGAGAGAGAGAGAGAGAGAGAGAGAGAGAGAGAGAGAGAGAGAGAGAGAGAGAGAAAGGTTTTCCGCTCTTAGGGTCACCTCTTGATTCTGCAATCCTGAAAGAGGCTCAGGAAGATTTCACTAGCTCTGGTGAGCAAAGGACTGAATATCTTCCTTTTGTCCCCCCAGATGCAATTTCTACACTTCTCTCCCCTGCTCTGTGCCCAAGAGACTGGCATGCCTGTGCCACTTCAGTTGCCTCCACAGCTCTCTGCCAGTGGGGTCCGGCTACTAAGCAGATGACAGGGCAAGAACAAGGGAGGGGGAGGGAGGTTCTTTACTCTCCTGATTCTCGTTCTGATGGGTCTATGGGGATATTTGTTTCTCTTCCTAAGGCCACCACAGTCCTGTTAGAAACCTTTCTCCATATGGTTCATTCTCCCTCACCTCTTCCCCGCCCCCTCCGCCTCCCTCTCCCCTCTTCTTTCTCTCCCTCTCCTTTTCTCTCCCTCTCCCTCTCTCCTTCTATCCCCTTTCGACATCACCACTTCAAACATAAGGGAGAAAACACCTCCCCTCAGACTAGGACGCGGCCGGTTGTTGCTCTTTCTGACGCTATCCAAATCTGTAAATAGTCTCTTTGTAAATCCTGTTCAAATAATACAACGTGAGTGTGCTGTTTCCTGCCACCACCCTAATGAATAAAAGCAACTTTGAGATCCTTGGACATATCTTGGGAGGGAAATCTGGGGGGGCGGGACTTTTTGCTAATTATTCTGATTTGCACACGGAAAAAATATAAGCTCTTTGCTTTTTTTGTGGTGGGGGGAGGTTCTGTGTTGGTAACACAGAGCACACGTTAAGCATTTGCTTACACATCTGCACCTCTCACCTGCCTGGGAGGGCCTGAAACATAATATTCATCTTTTAAGTGAATATTATATACCCACCTGCAGCTGGTAGATGTTCAAGCAATATCTATTGACTATAACCGAATGGTAAGACCTGTCTCTCCCAATACCTTGTCCTAATGCAGGCTGAAATCTAATCCACTCAGGCTAAGTATGGAAAACAAAGTCAGTGCAGGGTCATTGAAATATTCATTAGGTGGTTGCTTTATGTCACTTTTATTGCTTTCCAGGACATAGAGTAATACAAACTTGATGAACAAGAGATCAAAGGAAGCGATGCAAACCCTCATTAGAAGTGCTTTTAATCAAATGTTTTAAATGACACATAATTAACACATTGTTTTAAAGCAACTGGTCACTTTAAAGGGGTGCTTCTCCTTTTTAACTTCCCTAACAAGAGCTGGATTAAATAGCAGAGTCATGCAGTTATTACGTATGCTACTGCGGTCAGCCCTCCATCTGACACCCAACGATGTCCACCACATTTCATTGTGAGAAAGGCCGGGTTACAAAATATCCCGGTTTCCCAAAACATCCATCTACACGGGAGGAGACGAGAGGGGATCGTTTGGGAAGACTTGCTGCTTCTTGCCTGGTGCGGACAAGTGTGAGTTTATTTTCCACTCTTTTGATGGGCACATTCTTATAAATGAATGAATGAATGCTGTTTCCAAGGATGGAAGAGGATCCGGCACGCGAGGGCGAGGGTGAGACTCCTGCCGCCGAGCGGGGCGGGGGAGGACGGCGGCCGGGGGAGG